CCCCAAAAACTTTGTCTTCAAAATAAGGGTGCGTCTTATATTCCGAAAAATACGGTAGCTTAAAGAAATGAAACATCGGTTTTAATCTTAATCTCTAGTTGACCTGTACAGATCAAATGAGTAATATTGTTATAATAAACGTTCTACGCATACCTTTAACTCGCTATTTATACTGGGCATATTCTAAGTTTTATTTAACGTAAATTTTACATTCTTAACGCTTTTTTTTTCACCTATATAACATAAACATAAACACACAGATTCTCGTTACTGGGAGTGCGTAATTACATATGCTTCAGTACAACGAACGAAAACGAGTGTAACATAATTGAAAAATCAAAGTTTATTTCTACACAGCATTTGCGTTAACAAATACTATATTGAGTAAATAACTTTGAATTAAAGCCTACAATAAGGACACCATATTTACGATTTCTATAGACTGAAACTGTGTGCAGTGTATGAGTACTATGTTACTTGTGTACATACTGAAACTCTTCGTTTATATACTGTTAATTTACTGTAAAGTATCAAAATTTTCATAACTTACACAGTTATTATATAACCAAGCTCATAGTACTGTAAAAGAACGCTAGCAATTTAAAACTTTTAGATATCAATTTTATACAATAGCGGAATACTTACATAGATGTTAGCAAACCACTAGCAGTGGTATTATCTTTACCTGACAAAGCAATATAATTGATTTAGAGCTAAGCGAAATTTTGTGTACTACTACAACCACGGTTAACCAGAGAACAGCATATAATACAGGACCACACCGTAAAGCTGTAGAATTGGGAAAAAAAAAGTCCCTTACGTGATATTATATTTAGTAACAGCTGCTATTGTTTATATTTTAACATTCGAACGTGAGGAAAAGAGTGAGTATGTACTAATACCTCTCGGGTAGCACAAATATGAGTATGTACTAATATCCTCTAGGGTAGCACAAATAAAATAAGGTTTGAGTAAGAGACTTAAAAAAAAAGATGGTATTCTGGGTGATTTTTACATTTACTCTTTTCTGACACATTTTAAATGTATTGCTTTTATGTATTATGGTGGTTTATGTGCATTGCAAACATATACATTAGAACTATATCAAGAAAAAATAGATATACGTTTTTTACGTATGCATGATATTTTCTTATTTAGGTACATTTTGATTTATTTTAAATCTACCAATAAGGTATTCTACACAGAAAGTAACTATTGACATAACATAACCTGACAAAAGAAGTTGAAATGACACAATTACGTCATTCAGAGAAAGGGACAGCAGAATATTTGTTTGATCTTTGTTACTTCTAAGTCTAGGATCACACGACCCCTCTTTTATTACCTGTTCTTCTATGATTCTCTCTTGCCAAAACTGGATTATTCCTCCTCTCTTAAAGTCTCGAATTCTAGAAAAAAGTATATGAAAATTTATCTAATCAACAAAGTATAGCTTGGGGAAGATGAAGATGTGCATATATTTACTATACTTTCTAGTATAATATAATGGCATAAAACAGCTTTGCAATGTAGTTCCATGACACTTGCTTAGCCTGCCGCCTTGATACTTGTTTATTCCTTAATGGGGCTTATGACAAGCAATGAATTGTTACATGCAAAATACTGGCAAAGCTGGTTAACTTTGTTTATTACTTATAAAAAACCATGGCAAGGTATGTAATGTTTGATTCTCTAGACATAAAATTTCAGTAAGAATTGGAGGATATAAAAGTAGCAGTTTCCATTTCCGATCAGAATTGTCCTCTGAGCAACCACGAGGTTACTCGATGGATACAGTAGATAGCCAAAAGTGGCCATGTTATAAAACATACAAACAAATTTCACCTCTTGTCTTGGTCGTAGGTTTTATTCTCTTTCTAAAAATAGCACACGCTGTGAGATATGCTATGATTTACCTAAATAATAATAAAAAACGTTCAGTTTAATAGAATTTGCAATTGTTAATTAGTTGAAACTGGAGATACTAACTATCATCACCTATTTCTGGAAAGTAACGAAAGTATCATTGTAGAGTATTTTATTTAAATAGGTAGTGAGTAGACGGCTGGAACTTTCAATTACTTTCTGTTCTGAAAGGTTGGTACCCAGATAATCAGAAGGCTTAAAAAGAGAAAGGCCATGTGACCTTTAATATATCATATAAATTATTATTTGAAACATTTTATGTTGTATGGTGTATCAAAAATAGAAACTAATCTACTTACAAACAGCATTTTTAATCATATATTAGAGTAATAGAGAAAGGTATGTAAGAGTAAGCGTGACACGGATACATAGAAAAGTATGCCACTCTTATTTAATCCAGTAAGTGAATAAATAATTCAAAAACATCCCGTACATTCAATACAAACAACCATAAACTTAAATATCAACTACTTTTTGCTGTGTGAAAAGTATCATTGCCTCAAATTATCCTCATGCCTCTCTTTATACCTACCTATAGCTCATTGGTTCCAGAAATGGACTATTTTTCTGAAGTCCAAGACACAAATAATCCTCCTTTAATCGTTGTTTCCCAAGATAAAACGGACAGGACCTTCCGGAACTTTCCTCAAATTGCTGAAAGAGCTTTTCCAAGTTAACGTTTGTTGCAAGTAATATGCCTCCATTGGACATAAGATCCAGGTACTGGTTAGGATTCATCCTTTCTTTATTGTTATTTTTATTCTTCTTCCATAGTTCATGAACGAGGCTAAAAGATGTTTCCTATACGAGTACAATTAAAATTATAAATATACGTTAAAGTAAACACATTTTAGATTAAGATCCACAGGTGCAGCATTTTTTCGTAATTCAAAACTTTGAAGGAATTAAAAAAGAATACATTTCACATCCACGATGACATTAATAATCACTCATGTGCTTTAACTTTCTTATCTATTGGTAATTGAATAAATTAGTACTTGAAAATTTGTACAGCAGTATATAATGTTTAAGCCATTAAGAAATAACGCAATTTAGGACTTTCGTACGAATAAATGTTTTACCCTTAAAAATGATTCAGTTGAGGTACCAGGATAATAATATGCTGGAACGTTGCCTTTCAAGACCTGAGCAACTGTATCCAGTGGCTGCTCAGTTTCTTTGATACTTAAAAATGCCCGGATGTTTCCACAATATACACTCAGAACAATTAGACACGCAACTGCCCAAATGGCGAAAACAATTCTAGATCCAATATTGCTTGGGAGCTTCTCTACTCCTGTAAAATAACAACACAAACGGTAATACTAATGACATAGACCTTGCTATTAATGCTTATTTGTAATATTAATTCACACAATGTCGCCACTACGCACTTTTTTAACATACAAATCTGACTAAACTTATGAATCGGTTTTAGTTTCTATTTACACAAACGCACTAAATTAATGGTACAACACTTTAAATTTCGCATACCTAAACTGCTTAGCTGTTCTAGATAAAATTTCTTGTAATAAGAAATAGATGTCACAGTTGAAATCTGACAAATAAATGTTTGCACAAAGAGATAGGAATTTTTATATCAACGTTATTATTTTCCTTTCCATTACACTTAATATTTTGCAGAAACGAACTAGCAATGAGAACGAAAGTATGTAATAAACCGTTTCGCTTCGAGATTCACTCTAAATTTTTCCAAATTCTGCTTCTGGAGACGATCAGAATATGCGATTCAAAAATTATTTAGAATATAATTTAAAGACTAACAGAAGGTTTATCTATTTATAAATCTGCAAATCTCAATAACGATATCCAGCGTTATAAGAAGAAACAGCATAATAAATATTCTTTATGACCATAATACTTTTATACTAAAACGGTTACTAATGAGACTGATAAATGATTTCTTTCTGTTAATACTTTGGCAAAATAATATTTTTCTTTCATTATGTACCAGCCCCCCAGTGGCATAGCGGTAAGTCTGCGGACTTACAACGCTAGAAACCGGGTTTCGATACCCGTGGTGGGCAGAGCACAGATAGCCCTTGTGTAGCTTTGTGCGTAATTAAAAACAAACAAACAAACATTATGTGCCCCCAGTGGCTCAGCGGTAAGTCTGAGGGTTCACGACGCTAAAACCGGGTTTCGATAATCGTTATGGGTTTTGCGCTTAACAACAAATAAACAAATGTTACATATTCATGAAAGAAATCAATATATTACATAAAACAATATCTCCAGAACTTACAGGCACAAGTATTTGAGATTATATATATATATATATACACACACATATACTTTATCGAATGCGTGTTTTAATAAAAAAAATCTCATGTCCAAACAGAAACAAACCAAAACTAATCTTCCAGCACAACTGAAAATCGTGCAGCGGAAAGACTGCATAACGAAAAGATAATAAAACAACATGTAAGCGTATTGAATCAATCGCTCAACTCTACTGCATGTGCAATAACAGAAATTATGAATATTTATTTAAATGGGTACAAATCGTGACAAAGATAGCTTATTCTTGAGTAAGAAAGCACATTATGCTTATATTATAATAAGTTGACAAACAATAAACTTAGCCTATCTTTTTTTTCCTCATTAGTCTGTCGTCTACCCGAGGAAGACAGACCAATGTTCTGTCGAAATATGTAGTATGTTCCTACAAAAATAAATCACTTTATTATGGTCATAAATCATTGTTTGTCAACTTATTATTGAAAACAGTTTACGAAAAAGTATTACTACCTTGCCAAAGAGAAATCTTCAGAGAAGCTTCTAATGATAATTGAAGAATTGAAAACGATGAAGTGGCTCCTTCCTTTGGATTAATTTTAAATAAATAGAACATCCAAGTTGCTGCTACTATTCCTCCCGATAATAAACTGGCAAAAAAGTACGCTACCCAGACCTAGAAAACGTATTGGAGGACGTTAAACATTTATTTTATCATACAACTTAAAATCATCACGATAAATGTTACATCGAAAAAGCCTCTTAATAGTTTACATATAATTGAATATGACATTTCTTTAATCTTTTCTTTTTCGCTATTTCACGACTTTGACAACGTTGTAGTTTTTAAACCAAATAATCGCGAGTTTAAAGCTATTTCAAACTAAATTGATGAAGAAAAGTCAAGTTTAATTGGTGTACATAAGTCATGATATTTTTCCCTCCAGAGTGGTCCAAAATTATATTTCGTATTTTAACATTAATAATTAAATAAATAAGGAAATACAACCATGCATTTAACATCTTGGAAAGAACCACCATCGAAACCAACTATCCATGAGTGGATGAAGAAGCTCTTGGAGAGAGGTATTGTGTTACAGCGACCGGAAGCTGGAAGGCACTATAAGTACGTGAATCATTTCAGCGTAACCCACGTAAATCGCTTCGGCGTGTTTCACGAGAACTTGATACGACAAAAACATCCCTGCTCCGTATCATTCACAAACGACATCTTCATGCCTACAAACTTCAGTTGGTATAGGCACTGCAACCAGATGACAGACCACAGTACAATACATTTACAGTGAACCTCATGGATCGCATAGATGAAGACAACACAGTTCTAGCTCGTGTATTGTTTAGCAATGAGGTTACATTTCATATCTCGGGTAAAGCGAATCGTCATAATGTTCGCGTTTGGAGCTCGGTAAACCAAACCCCCGTGGTACCAAGGATATCGTGCATAATAGCCCAAAGGTTAATGTGTGGTGCGGTCTCATGTGTGACAGGATTATTGGTCCTTTCTTTTTCGCTGAGAGCACTATTACTGGAAACGTGTATCTTGACATGTTGGAAGAATTTGTGATCACACAAATGGAGGAAATGCAACCACGGATAATCTTTAAATATGATAGTGCTCCGCCTCACTGAAGTTTGATGGTCAGACGAGCCCTAGATCATACATTTCTGAGGCGATGGATTGGTCGAGGTGGGCCAATTCCGCGACCTTTGTGTTCGCCAGACATCACTCCACTAGACTTCATTCTTTGGGGGTATGTTAAGGATATCTTATATCGCACACCTATAGCAAACATAACGGAGCTACAGATCAGGATAACCGATACCGTTGCTACTGTAACTGTGGACATGTTGCAGCGAATGTGGACTGAAATCGAACATCGGTTAAACGTGCTGATAACTACAACTGATGCACACGTACAAGTCTAATGACATGTCAATAAAAACAGTTTGAGTTGGGCTACATGATGTTTAAAACTGCTTGGTTGTATTTCCTTAGTTATTTAATTATTAATTTTTAAAATAGGTAAGATAATTTTGGACCGCCCCGTAATATTATCGTTGAAAGACATATTTAACCGGCTAAAAAAAACCAAAAGAACTTAGAATAAGATGATATTTGTTACAAACAATATCATATTTACGTATACTGTTAAACAGACACGTTGATGATTATTAAGAGCATTTAATATTTATTGCATCGAGTAAGAACAAGATTTCTAATTTTCGATGAAACTCAAAAGCTAACACACTTCGCGAATACAATAGCTTTTCATCAGTGTCTTACGATAAACCTATTTTTGTATTCGCGTTATGTTGTATTCTTAGCATTTCGTTGATTTATTTATTTCTAAATCAGTAACACAAAATTTGGATAAAAAATGTGAGTAAACATAATTTTTGAGGAAATTCTGAATCGCATTGATATATCTATATGTGTTTCATTATTGGATGAAAGTTTTTCAAGATGAGAAATTAGGGTTAATTACTTCTACACCGAACAGCCGGAAGAGTGCACCAGAACGTGGGAACTGACGTGGAGCTCTGCTACCGAACATCAATGCAGCAAGCTGATAAAACTCGGCAAAGTCGATGACAGCGTTTCGTTCGGCAGTCCAGGACAACTGAATACCAGCAACGTCTCGTTCCTTTTACAACAAAAGATTAAAACGTACTATAACACACACACACACATATATAGAACAGTATGTTACGATACTACTTAAATCAAGAGCAGATCCTTGTGAAAATAATTCATACATTAAATACCTCGTCGTAGTTGACTGAATGTAAAGGGTCGCTTTACTTTACCTTGCGAGCTAATTGTCCAACAGCTCCTCCCCATACACCTGCATAATCTTTAGTTCCGTAGGAATCAGCCGGCGGGTCTGGAAATGCGAGGCTATGAACAGTAAAACGTGTTAATCAATTTTAGGATTGTTCTTCATTACAAAGAGCAGAAAATTTAGAGCCATATTTTGTGGTTACCTGTTATTATTTTATGAGAAAAATGGATATTATGACTAACATAAAAATATTATAGAAGCTGGAGAAAGCTTAAATAAACCTTCGGTATTTCCATATTTCAAGTGAAAAACAGTTCCTGATGTGGATTTATATAAAAAGATTTTAAACGTCAATGATGTTTGATTAAAAAAAGAGAGAGAGTTCAAAAGTAGGAAACAACAGAAATCTGAGGAAATTTAATTTCTATTACAGACATACTTATGTTTAGCTAAATATTATAGTACAAATTAATAAGAAACTGCCTTGATACCTCGAAAACATTTTAGAACATCAGTTAGATCTAGCGCTTAAATTCTGTTTTTAAAATGTATTAGTTCACCATAAGAAACAGCTTACACAATGGCGAGATAAAATAATTTATGTAAAGTGTTAGGTTTCCTTTAGAAAACTACTTATCATATAAACATAGAAACTCTGTGATTACTTTGTATAAGGCTTATTTGTAAATGAAACATTAGACTGCGTTTTCACAAATAATTGTGACCTAACAATTATCGCTATTTCAGAAAAGCTTGAACTATATAAAACTGATACGCTGTTACAAAGACATATCAAATAAAACTTAGATTCAATGATGAGGAAAATAAACATTTTATTGTGTTAAGGACGTGAGTTGAAACATAATTATAAATGTATTTTAATGTTATATTTACTGAATAATTTTAGACGGTTTTATGCATCAAACCAAATTTCTCGAACCTTAAGAACATTTTGGAACATCTCAACTTTTAACCTCTTTTAACACACCGTATAGGATTGCTCATCTAAAGATCTAAAGTAAACTGGATATTAACTTGTCCTACCTCACTTTATGAATCTTATATCCAGTCGATTATATTCACCTCGATAAAAATCTATTTCCAATCCAGCTCTATAGAAGTGTTAAGAAAGCAAGTTGTTAAGATTGCTGTCGCTTATTTTAGTTTCTGTTTCTACATTAATGGAGGCTTTCATGAGTACGTTTGTGTTGCATTAGTGTTTGTCACTTTTATAAGTACGATTATTTTGCATTATTTCGTAAGTAAATATATATATTTTATATTTGTATGTATGAGTTTGGGTGTGGCAGAATCAGTAAAAATAAATCAGTTAAATCAATCTGCTATATATAGAATACATATACAATAGTTTACTACGAGGGATGTATTTCAGGCCCAATGGTACATCATATCATGACTGGTCACTTTGTTAGTACCGTTTCCTAATAGGCTTCCTTTCACCTCGATGATAATCTGGATTGGGCATGAAATAAACCTTTCAAGGTGTTTCTATATCATACCCCCTTGTAGAGGAATATGGTTTGCAAGTTGTTTTTATATGTCAGCTGAGGATTATAGTGACAAATGTACTTTCCAGCTCTCCTGAAAGAGGCTCAGTCGTTATGTAATATGGCAAATGTGTTGATCAAGAAAGATAAACTAAGCTAGATTGTTGAACTATCGACTTAGAATAGCTCTAACCCTTCAGCGTGAAGCACATGAGGTATTGCGAGGTGAACATGATCGGCAACAATATCCAGAAACAGTTTGGATGTCATTCTGGTCGAATAAACCTCTTTCACAAGATCTCCCGTACCACCTTTATGATTGAAATGTCAGAACATCGAGGGTCACATGGGAATTTTTCCCATGAGTAGAGAGTTTCTTGGGGTTTTACCTATATTTTTTCCTTACCTTCAGTATAGAATACGGAGAAACGCAACTAAAAGTACGTCACTTGCTTCTAATCAACCACCCATAATCCACAGAATGAGATTTAAGCACCACCGAATTTACGCTTGTTTGTTTGGGTCTGACTTTGGAGTAGTTTTTGACTGCTATGTTACAATTTTTTATAAGTTTTTCGCACGCTATAGTTAGAGTAAAACGAATTATGACTACAGTTAAAACAATCTGAATATAGGGTGAAGCGTATTACGTTTCACAAGCTTGTTTAATACTTATTTTCTTCAATCGATTTCAGTTATATAATTACCAATACACCAGCTGAGAAACTGGCAGGGCATAAACTACACCAAATCAAAAAATGAATCTTACATGGCCGTAATGTGAGACAGGAAAAAAACACAAAAACAATAAGCATAAAACAAGCAAAACACCCTTAGATCACTCACACAGCGTTGCAAGGATTACCGAGTTACAAGTTCATTAGCAGAAGTATAGGCCCGGCATAGCCAGGTGGTTAGGGTACTCGACTCGCAATCTGCGGGTCGCGGGTTCGAATCCCCGTCACACCAAACATGCTCGCCCTTTCAGCCGTGGGGGCGTTATAATGTGACGGTCAATCCCACTATTCGTTGGTAAAAGAGTAGCCCAAGAGTTGGCCGTGGGTGGTGATGACTAGCTGCCTTCCCTCTAGTCTTACACTGCTAAATTAGGGACGGCTAGTGCAGATAGCCCTCGTGTAGCTTTGCGCAAAATTCAAAAACAAACAAGCAGAAGTATACAAGCCCTTAAAAAATGGGATTCCAGTTTCTATCAGAGAACTTTCAGATCCCACCATCAGAGTCAATATCTACTCAGTACAAGTAAAGGAATCCTGTGGCTAAGTTTGGTTATTTTAATCCACTGTGTTCAATGCCTATAAGCCATCAGCTTGTATAAATTTAAACCTTTGTCATACTGTTACGACAGCGGAAGTCACGCGACACTGGGAGGAACCCCGCGAATGTCCGAGTGTTTGCCAGGCGCTCTCTTTGTTAGTATATAAGCCCGGCAAATAAAGCCAGCGAGAGAGAGATATGCAGATAGATTGAAAAGATAGAGATACAGAGTCAAGCGAACAGTAAGTACCATAAGTAAAATGTGTGAATCACTGTGATTTATAGGGAGTGTTATAAAGGTTGTTCAGTTTAAAGTTTCTGTGGAAATTCTGTGTACTAAAAAGTTGTATAGAGAAAGAATAAACTAGTTTTAGTCAAGAAAGGACTTGAATCGCTGAAGTTCCTCGGAAAGAATTTGTACCGGAAATTAACAAACGAGCAGATAAGTAACAATACTTTTTGTAAATATGTTTGTAATTATAATAATAAAAGTGAATACTTACCTGAAGTTCAGAACCTGTGATAGAATGTTAAGTACCTGAATTGCTAGTTTGTCATTGTTCTTTGTCTGTTAAAGAAAACACAGAAACAAAATAAACAAAGTTTTCATAATTACGTATATCTTTAATGACTCTTACAATTTCTTAACGTTTAAATATCAGTTAGATTATACATAAAAATCTTAATCTGGAAGCTACATATCAGGAGTAGGGCCAATTGGTCCGGGCTTCAACCTGAAAGAGGGCCTAAAATTTAGATACCTGCTATTTAATTTTTACTGCAAATTATATATACAAATTAAATATTCAAATTATGTGTTCATTTGGGGGGGGGGCTAATGATTGTCTTATTTTTTTCATGTGTCATCGTTTTTCTTATTATTATTATTACAGTCAGGGGCATCAAAAGATAAAACTGGCCCCTAGCCTCTCTGAACCTCTGAAAGGGTCTGATCAGGAGATATAACGTTCATCCTTTAAACGTTTTCCAAATGTATGGATCCGCGGGTCTTTGGTTCGACGCGTGACACTATCAAACACGCTTCCCACTTTCATATATGTGTTATAAGATTAACAATACATGCTGCTATTCAGTTAGCAGTAGCCGCTTCATGCGATAGGTTCTGCTTAATGGTTGCATTTCCTTTGGTTTGCAGTTCAGAAATATGAACAATTATGTCTGAACCATAGGAGTCTCTGAATTTGCTGCTTAGCTTACTGTTTATATAAGATGTCGTTCAGGTGAACAAACATTTCTTACCGAATAAAAAGTTAAGGCTCACAATATGGCTTCACCGTATTGCTGAAATATAAAATAAGAATAAACTCTAACACATTAACATCTAGTTTGCCTCCGGGGTTCGATTCCCTGTGGTGGACAGAAAGCAGATAGTCCATTGTGTAGCTTTGCACTAAAACACAATAAGAACAAGGTTTCCCCTGAACGTTATAGTAAAATCCTAATATGTAAATATCTCTGATGTTGTTGACTAGCTGCTTTTGGTCTAGTCTGTCTAGTCAAAATCAGGGAAGACTATACACAGATAGCCCTTTATACAAACTTTATGCAAACAAATAAATATCATCAGCAGCTGTGGCTCACAGAAAATATAGTTTGGTTGAAATGTTGTTACGGTACATTACTCTTATTAAAGCGTCAATAAAAAATATGGGATTACAATTATTATCAATCTTATTGTGATGTAATATCACACCACTACAAAACATTTGATATTGTGTAAAAGAGATACGTCACTGCTTTAATTTCTCATGCGACAATGAAACAATAGGAGTGAATATTCTCAAATCGATTAATAACTTACTAAAAGTGTGGCAAGAAAAGTACGTCCTCCAAAGTTGTTTGTCGATGGTGGAAAAATAATTTCATCGTCTCTGGCATTTGTAAAAGTGGCGCTTCCGTCGTTTTTCCAAATCAGGAATTCGGTGAGAAAACTACTAGAATTCTAGAATGAAAAGAAAGGTTGAACTGTAGGAAGTTAAGTATAATGAATCTTAGAATAGTGTAAATTCTACAAGAGTACCAATGTAACCAGAAAGACAAAAAAATTAAGTTTTCAGAATGGATATATATATCATTGTAATTATCGAAAATTGCTGGATTTTTCATATTTATAACTAGAAAAATAATACACTTATACTCAGGTATATTGAGGAATGTTTTGTGCAAGTATTCTGCATTTTTCTGACATTCTTTTCAACAGAATGTGATAGTTTTAAACTTGTCTTAATTGTTTCCTTCGATTAGGGTTACATACCACAATAACCATTCAAAAGAGCTTTTACTCGTTTGGCCAATCTTCTGCATTACATTTCTCTTGAGATTTGGGTCATAACCAAGTGAAAAAGTGGTGCAGAGGCTTGTATGAGCTAGGAATTTATCTCTTCTTGAACGTATATAATGAGAATGATCAAAGGCACAATTAATCGAAAACTGTGTGATACCGTGAAAGCAAGATATAGACACAACCTTTGCAGTCTTCCTTGTGTGAAGAAGTCTCTCGCTTTTCTCAGCTTGAAACCACCAGTCAGACGCTCTGGCGTAATCTATCGCCTTCTTCAGTGACATACAGACAATACTGAATAGTTGTTGAACTTATATTGTTGACCTACTTCAGTCGAAATTTATGTTTTAAGACTATGGTTCATGTTATTATCAACACAGTACGACTTTCCAAAGACTCTTTAAATAAACGCGAACGTTTGTTTGTCTCTTTAGTTATAATTTAATACTTTTTTTGGGTTTTTGAATTCTAGTCATATAAGCCCTTCCTGTATCACAACAGTATACTCTTCGAACTATTGTA